TTCCCTTCAAAAACCTTTTTTAAATATTGGTTGTGTATATCTTTCAGTATTTCTGCAGTTTCGACAGTCGCTGGTATGATAATTTAAATAATAATTATTAAAATAGTTAATTGGTTACAAATAAGGATTATTTAAACAATACAATATTATAATATCAAATGACATACTGTAAAAAGAAAATAATTGATTGTCAACATGAACGTCTTCTTTTTCCAAAAAGCAAATTAAGCGTCCATAATAAATTGGGTTGTATAATTTTTTTAAATTCTTGTGCTTCTGTGCATGCAAGTCAATCTTTCAAAATCAACTTATTTACATTTGAGACCAAATATTAAAGTCCAAGTCAACCCAAAATTGCTTTTATGGACTGTTTTTTTTTAATGACGCTGTTATGAAACTCATGCCATAACTATAATGGCTTTGTGACATTCATGTTTATGACAGATTTATGATAAGTTTTATTGTCTCGGCAATGTCAAGTTGTCATGAAAAAGACGAAAACAGGTTGTGATGTATTTATGTCAAGTTATCATACCAAACAATGGCATATTTGCAATTAAAACATCGTAAATGAGGGACGTGTTAAATGACACTTAACGACAGTTGCAATAAGCCTGCATAAAATTCCATTCACATTCATGACGTGCCATGATTATTTTTATGATTCAAATATAATTTCTTAAATAATTTAACAGTACCATCAGCTTACATATTTTTACATCCTTTTAACACCCATTTCCCCTCACCAACAGTGCCAGTTATAGTAATTAGATACTGCTATCATAAATCCAGTAAACAAATATAATATAAACTCAAAAAAAATCCATAATAATAATAAAACAATAATAATAATAATAATAATTATTATTATTATTATTATGAATACATAAATAACATAAGATAATTACACTTTTACCACTTGTCTCTCACCACAGTGGCCTTGTTCAGTCTCTAAAAAAATCGCAAATATTTTCCCCATCTTCTATAATAAACATCCCCTTTATCAAGTAGTCTATATGGTGTCATGTCATGATTATTAAGGTTTCATGACAGTCTGATGAACAGCCCTTCAAGTAAAGTGTTATTGCAGATCTCAATCCACAATAAATCCCTCTGATCTCTGTGATCTAATTAGAAATTGTGTTGTTTCACAGACCTGAAGAAGTGATTGTTTCCCCAGAGGATTCGATCTCCATGATGCAGCTGGATAGCAGACGAGACCACAGCTCCATTCACACATGTACTGCACACAAATGTATGAATAATGTTTACATGAGCACATATTTTTTACATGCCATGATTGGTTATAGAGGAGAATCACGGGCAGATACAGTATACAGTCATGTGAAAAAGTTCCTCATTACAGGGTTAATACACATTTTTAACTAATCAAATTCCAGGACTTTTCCAAAACGTTTAGGTAAATGTTCATGACCTAATATTTCATATATGTCTACATCCATTGTGGTAAATGATAATTCAAAAAGAAATGCACGTTCAAATTTATTTCAGCACATCAAAAATGGACAATCTTTGTAGTTCTTTGTTCATTTGTACTTTATTTTTGGCTTTGCTTTTTTTTAATAAATAAATGAAGCATTGTGAGATGTTACGTGACGTTGCTCATTTGAGTTTTTTTTTTTCTTACAAATTTTAAGAGCTGCCAAAAGCCAATTCTTTTTTTTTTTTTTTTTTTTTTTTTTTATGATGTCCTGATATGGAAAACTGTGAAATTCAATAGGATGTCCTGAATTTTTCCACATGACTGCATACATGCATATTTAAATGTCATTAAATACGTACATTTACATAGATATGAACATAAGACCCATGGCATCCACTTCTTGAACATCAGATTTTTGCATTTAGCATTTATATATTGCATATACAGTGCGTCCGGAAAGAATTCATAGTGCTTTCATTCCTTTATGTCCTCAACATTCTACACACAATCCCCCATAATGACAATGTGAAAAAAAGAGTTTATGAAATTGTTGCAAATTTATTAAAAATAAAAAGCTGTAAAATCGGATGTACATCAGTGTTCACAGCCTTTGTTGTGAAGCTCTAAATTGAGCTCTGGTACATTCTGTTTCCACTGATCATTCTTGAGATGTTTCAGCAGCTTCATTGGAGTTCACCTGAGGTCAATTCAGTTGATTGCACATTGTTTGAAAAGGTGTACACCTGTCTATATAAGGCTCCAGGGTTGACAGTGCATGTCAAAGCACAAACCAAGCATGAAGACAAAGGAATTGTCTGTAGACCTCCGAGACAGGATTGTCTCGAGGCACAAGGCTGGGGAAGGTTACAGAAAAGTTTCTTCTGCTCTGCAAGTTCCTATGAGCACAGTGGCCTCCATCGCCCGTGAGTGGAAGATGTTTGGAATCACCAGGACTCTTCCTAGAGCTGGCCGGCCATCTAAAATGAGTGATCAAGGAGAAGTGCCTTAGTCAGGGAGGTGATCAATAACCTGATGGTCACTCTGTCTGAGCTCCAGCGTTCTTCTGTGGAGAGAGGAGAACCTTACAGAAGGACAATCATCTGTGCAGCAATCCACCAATCAGCCCTGTATAGTAGAGTGGCCAGACGGAAGACACCCAGCCTGGAATTTGCCAAAAGGCATGTGCAGGACTCTCAGACCATAAGAAACTAAATTCTCTGCTCTGATGGGTCTTAAATTGAACTCTTTGGCATGAATGTCAGGAGTTACGTTTGGAGTGAAAACCAGGCAGTGCTCATCACCAGGCTAATAGCATCCCTACAGTGAAGCATGGTGGTGGCAGCATCATGCTGTGGGGATGTTTTTCAGCAGCAGGAACTGGAAGACTAGTCAGGATAGAGGGAAAGATGAATGCAGCAATGTACAGAGACATCCTGAATGAAGACCTGGTTCAGAGTGCTCTAGACCTCAGACTGGGGCGACCGTTCATCTTTCAGCAGGTCAGTGACCCAAAGCACACCGCCAAAATATCAATGGAGTGGCTTCACAAAAACTCTGTGAATGTCCTGGAGTGGGCCAGCCAGAGCCCAGACCTAAATCCTATTGAACATCTCTGGAAAGTTCTGAAAATGGCTGTACACCGTCGCTTCCCATCCAACCTGATAGAGCTTTCCTCAAAATTCCCAAAGGTGTGCCAAGCTTGTGGCATCACACTCAAAAAGACTTGAGGCTGTAATTGCTGTAATCAACAAAGTATTGAGCAAAGGCTGTGAATACATACTGAATACAATATCTATATTGTTGTAGGTTTATGTATGTACGCATGAATGGTGTGTGCTTGCATATGTAAGGACTATTGTGTGTGTGATCATGTGGATATATGCTTATATTTTGTGTACATGCTTTTATCAAAGTATATGTGACGAGTTTATGTGGTCTATTTCAATGCTTTTTTTGTTGTTTGTGAGGCACTTTGAGTTGCATGTATATTGGAAAAATGCTAAACACATAAAATTTATTCTTAGTATTATTATTATTATTATTATTATTATTACTGATGTACATGTGATTTTTCAGGGGGGGGTGGGGGGGTTGTAATAAATTTGCAATAATTTCAAAAGCTCCTTTTTCACATTGTCACAATGGGAGATTGTGTGTAGAATGTTGAGGAAATTAATGAATTTAATCCATTTCGGAATAAAGCTGTAACATAAAAAATGTGGAAAAGGTGAAACGCTATGATAATTTCTTTGGTTGCTCCATTCTATTAGTACATTATTAACTGTACAGGAGACACTCTAATTTCTTTTGAGAATCAAAAGTTTGTATGTTTTGGCTTTAGTGGAATATAACTGTAGACATGATTTGTGTGTGGTTACCGAGCATTTCTCTTCGGCGTGAGTGTGACTCCTGTCTCTGGTTTGATGTCAATGATGCAGTGCTCAGGCTGAATGGCCAAACCACACAACTGAATGTCTTGAGAGTCAGCAGAGCCCACACGAGTGTGTTCCTGCATAAAAACAAACACATTATCAATTTATATAACAACAATAAACACCTCAAAAGTAGATACAGTAAGATGTTATCAAAGAATAAAGCTTGACAGGTTTATCAGGAAAAAAAATGCAAAAATGCATGCACTGTTGTATAAGACTTGATTCTGAGAAAAAGAACCGCCTTGGTGTACTTTATCCTGCTTATTACATGGATACTTGCCACAAAACATAAAAATTAGAAACAAAACATTGTTCTGAGCTGTAACAGTTTATTAGTTCTGTAATTAAATGCAAATCTGACAGAAACGAAAACAGCTGATGGAGTATACACTAACCTGCACATTATTCAGACACAAGATGGCGCCAAACAGTCAAAAACAAAGCTGACAGAAATTAAACCGCCTGAATAAAGCACTGACTAACCTGCATATTATTCATTCACAAGATATCGCAAAATAGTCAAAAACTGCAGTGTTATAGAAGAGCAGATACTTATGAACGCAAGTATATCAATGTAAACGTATTTACTGACGGTCAAGGTGACTGGAAGTTCCTGGATGAACTTGTGTTATTGAGAAGTTGGTATCTGGGAATAACATACCTTGCAATGTCACCACTGACCAATCATAAGCAGATATTCTAAACAGCCGTGTAATAATAATCCTAAATAATGTGTGTCTGTACCTTTAAGTAATAGACGAGCAGTTCGTTGAGGGCAGGGTCTGCGTTCAGGTTCACCAGGAAACATTTCTCATCGATGACTCTGATTCCAGACGACTGTAGAGAAATGCCCAAACTCTCCAGCTGCTTCTGACGCTCCTGAACAAACAAACAAACATTACACAAGTCAGACGAAACGCATCTGAAAATCAGCAGTCACACGTTTACTGTGCAGAACATACGTCTCAAACTTGTATTCTAGAGGGCCACAGCACTGCACAGTTTTGCTCTAACTAATTAAACAAACCTGATCCAAATAATTAAGGTGTTCAAGACTAATCAAGTCGACCTTTAGTCATTCCGCTACATGTGTGGAAGTTCAGAAAAACGAAATGTTGTGTCTCGCAGGACAACGGTGCTACAGTACATTGACTAATCATAAATACAAACACAACACAGGAAATGCATGTAAGAGCTATTTAAAAAACCTATGCATAACTAACAAACTATAAGATACTTAGATATACACACAACACAGGCTATACAAGTACTGCTACACAAGACTGCAAAATGTTGTGCAGAATATTGTGCAAAAGAGGTATTTAAGGTTTCATATTGTGCCAATAAGTGATTTAAGGTTAACACAAGCAGTGCTACATGATTGTGGTACATTTATAGTAAACATTGCTTTTTTGAGTCCTTGTATGATGCAGTTTAGGTAAAGTGTCAGGTGCATAAGAGCGAAGAGTGTTTCTACAGGTGGTTTATCAAGCCCACTCACCTATAGGAAGCACAATGTTTTCAAGAGACGTGGAGTGAATAAGAAAGTGTGTATAGTGAAATGAGCAACCTGGTGCAGGAGTCAGAGAGATGAGAGGGTGTCCCCCTCACCTGTATGGGACATACTCTGGAATGCATGGGGGGGGGGGGGCGGTGGATGAGATTTCAGAGGGGGGTAAACTACTAGAAACTATTAAGCAGGTTTGGGTTGGAGCTTGTTGGAGCTAAACCGTGGCTCTCCGAGAATAGAGTTTTTGAATATTGGTGTAGAAGAACCTAACAAAGCACCTTAATAGCACTTAATTAATAAACACTGCTAATTCAAAATGGCTGCGTCCGAAACCACCTGCTACTCAGTAGGTACTGCATATGAATTTAAACGTACTACTCGGCCGTTAAAAAAGTACGTTCTATACAGTATGAATTTGAAAGTATGAATGGAATTTGGACGTACTACATCCGCCATTTTGTCATGGTCACGTGACCTACCTGCATCAGTTGCAATGCTTCAATCCCATTCATGAATTCGCTCGCGGGGCATCATGGGACAGCGCAGCGTGCATAGGATGCACATTTCAGAATCTCATCGGAAGTCATCCGGGTACTTCTCACATACTGATTTTTGTGTTCAATGAATTCAGACACACTACTCGGCTGCCATACTGATTTTAGCATACTATATAGTATGAAAGTGTGCAGTTTCGGACGCAGCCAAAGTCTTGTTGTTGCTGTTGTTGAGTGAAAATGCTCATACTACACAATCACATTTTGCTCCGAAAAAGAAATATGTATCTTAGGCTACACCTCTATCTGAGGCCATTACTTATATACTATATAGATTTATTTATATTTCTATTATTATTGCCAATAAATAAATACATGCATAAATCAAACGGTGTTCATCACAGTGTAAATAAAAAGTTTAAATATTTATTTTAGGACAAAGTATTAGAAAGAGACAATCATTTCTTATTTGTTTCTCTGCATTTTCACATTTGAAAACAATTTACCAAAAAGTTTTACAAATTTTTTCAGTGTGAATTAATGATTTTTATGTTGGCATTTTGCTATTTTAATGATAAAATGTATTTGATCTATTGATTATATTACCTATTTCTTGAAGATTAATATGTTTTAAATAGAATAATTTATTAAATCAAAGGACTTTATTTTATTTTTAATACCTCATCTTTAATAGCTCATCTTTATAAACCACTTATTTTCTAAAATATTTGAATTTTTAATTAGTTAATTTCATTTATTTATTAATTAATATTATCTTTTTTTGCTAGTAGAAATGAATCAATATACACAAACAGACCATATTTAACTCCAGATTCCCACCGTGTGTTTATGTGCGTGTCTCTTTCCCTGTATGTGTTCTTTGTCTGCGTCTGTCTTTGTATATTACCTGTGCGATCTCCTCAGTCTTCCTGAGCTTCTCCTCCCAGCTGACAGTCATCTCCTGAATCAGCTTCTCAGACTCCTCCAGTCTCTCCTTGAGCTCTGGCGCCTTCATGGACTTCGCGCACACACAAGCAAATACATGTTATTACAAACTTATAATTCAAGTTTGAGTTATATTTAAAAAAAAGTCTTACAAAATTACTTTATATTATTCAAAAAATAAATATAATAATCATGATAATAATAAGGGCATCCACGATTTTTAATTTGGCCCATAGTTTTGATTTCAGTGGATCATCATCATTTATTGGCTTGTATTTTTTAAAGCAAGCATAATTTAAGTTTGAGTTGTAATTAAATAATAAAAAAGTCTTACCAAATTATTTTATATTATTCAATAAAATAATAATAATTTCAATTTTCTTTTTCAGACGATTTTTGGTTTGGGCAGTACCTCAGCCTCGCTCAGCTGACTGCGCAGCTTCTCCACCTCCTCCCGCAGCTCTCGGATGATCCTGGCGTTCGGGTCTTCATTCACTACAGCGTGATTGATGATGCTTTTGGCGCGGTCTGCGTATCGCAGCGTGGACAGAGTCTCCTCGTAGTTATCCGCCGCCGGACTCACCGCCGCCACCATAGCTGTGCGACTGTTGCCTCCTAAACTGTCCTAACAAACACACACACACAGATAGGAAACTACATTAGAAAGTTTTGGTCAATGTGTACTGAGACTGAACATACAGGGTTTCTACAGCTCTCCCCATGTCAAATCTAACAGTTTTTAGGACCATTATGAAGTAGTTTATGGACCATTATGAACGAAATTCATTTAACTCATTTCTAATAACTGATTTATTTTATGTTTGCCATGATGACAGTAAATAATATTTGACTAGATATTTTACAAGACGCTAGTATTCAGCTTAAAGTGACATTTAAAGGCTTAACTAGGTTAATTAGGCAGGTTTGGGTAATTAGGCAAGTTATTGTATAACAGTGGTTTGTTCTGTAGACTATTGAAAAAATATTGCTTGGGGGGG